TGTAAAGGGTAGTGCTGTAGCATCTCTCGTGACGTGCCTGAAAATGTGCGCCGGCGAGAATTTATTGTGACGTCATGGCTGTAATCGAGAGTCCGCGTGCAAGCAAGGAAGCAAGGCTTGGACGTCTGGGAAAAGATAGGTTCAGTTTCAACATGTTTGTAAGCCAAACAAAAAAAACATCAAGTGGACACAGCGCTTCTCGGCGTTTTGGCTAAGATCAAAGTCACTTCTCGGCCTTTTGGCTAAGATCAAATTGGCTCTCACACTTTTGATCTTTATAGCCTAAAGACGAGAGATAGTCCCTCACGGAGAGCTGGCCGCCTGGAAGGTCCCCCTGCTTCTGGTCGCACGGATCATCGCTGCACCTGGGTCTACCTGGTTCCTCGGTCCTGCTGTACCACCGAAGGAGTCTCCGGCCATCTGCCGACAGGGCGCACCTACCAGCGGGAGCAGACGTCCTCCGTGAGTGGTAAGAGTCTACAAGCCTTTTCTTGCCTGCCACTCCCGGCCCGGTCGTCAATGTCTGGTGGCGACATCCACGGGCCCCGGTTATCGTGACCAACTCGCCGCCGTCGTCGACCGAGCCTAGTGGCCTGGTCTTCAAACCATGGGGACGTGGACATCTACCGACGCGGAGTTACAGTCCATCCAGCGGGAGAAGACGCCCTCCGGAAGCGGTGAGAGTCTACAAGCCTTTTCTTGCCTGCTGCTTCCAGTCCGGTCGCCAATGCCCGCTGGTGACAACAACGGACCCCGGTCATCGTGACCACTCCGCCGCCGTCGTCGTCGTCCCCCAGGTCTCCTTACCCGGCCGTCCGTCAACGAGGTCCTGTCACATAGAGGAGTCCCTGCCTAGCCATGCCTCCCCCCACCAGCCACCTGCCATGTCCATCTAGTCGCTCGCCCCGGGTTCCGGTCGCCGCCGGCGGCATCCCGCTCCCCCTTCGGGGTTGAGCACACCGGGGCCGCCGCCGGCCCAGCGGCCTCGTCCTGGCACTCCGGCGTCTACTGGTGTTTCTGCGGCAGCGTCGGGCCCTTCTCGCTTTCGACCGCCTGTCATTCACCAGGGCATCATGACAGTGTACCTGCCGGTGCCCGAAATGCTGCGTTGCCCTTATCACATTTGCGCGGGCTGCCAAGCCCGCACATCAGTTTCGCTCCGACTGTTCACGTGGCAGTTCCACATGGAGTGAAAACACGGTGTGCGGCCAACGAGGCATCTCTACCGGTGCGTCACCTGTGATGCCCAGTTGACTTCGTTGTCCGCCCGCCACGACTGCCCGGGTCCTGCCACGAACGAGCCCTTCCACCTTTGCCGGTAATGCCCGAGGTACTTCAACTGCGAGCGCTCCTTGACCCAGCACACCATGGAACAGCATGCGCAAGAGGAATCCTTCGCCTCTGTACCTCATTGCAACGCACCGGAGCCTATGGTAACTCCCTCCAGTTCTTCCGGTACAGAAACCTACCATCTTCCGGTCCAGCTCCTTCGGGTACAGCTTGCCGATTTCCACCAGAACTGCAGACCCGAGCCACCGTTTCCCGGTCTCGAAGACGTCTTGAAGGCAAGTCTTCTACATCGATGCCATCCTCGAGTACCGGATCGGTCTCCAGCAGTCTCTGGCCGGCTACCGGTTCTCCGTCGACGTCAAGCTCCGGGGCGTCTACCATGCCGGGCCATTCTTCAGCCACTTTCGGCACCGGTTGTTCCAAGCCTCGGCAGTCGCGTTTGGTTTCCGGAATGATACCGTCCGGGCCACCAGATTCTGGTCCCCTGTCCACAACTGGCGAGGTTTCGTCTGCGCTTGGCTTGTCTTCTCGTCGTCACACCGGTCCCGGCTCTGCGACGTCTGCTTCGATGGTTTCATCAGCGATGTGCATGGAGCTTGCAACGTCCCCGGTACCGACGACTCCGATGACGTATCGGCCAACGATCCGATGGACGAACACAGTGTCCCAGATGCCGGCCCCGTCGTCAACCACCGCCCTTTGTCGATCAGTTCCCGCTCTTCCTCGTCCCCTTCTCTTTCCAAGTGGCCGGAAGGCACTGGTGTGGACGACCCAGACGGCGGTGTAAACGACATTCTCGTCGAAGCACCGACTATGGACATGCCACCGGACCACATCATGCTGCTTGCGGAGCAGGTCTGCGTCTTGTGAGCCGCGCTCCGATGAGCTCCTAGGCGACGTGTGAGCAGGCGTGGTCTCGGGCTGTTGCTATGGCAATGGAGGCTGTTCGCCTCCCACCGTCAACACAGGGACGCCCTGCTCCAGACGTCCACCCCAACAACGCTACAGAGATCCAGCGTCTCTACCGCAGGAACCGCCGATGCACCGTGCGCCTGATCATAAAGGAACCCACTCGGTCCTGTACCATTTCCATACGCGACATCCAGGACCATTGGGCCTCCACCTGGTCACCACGCACGGCGGACATGTCAGCGCTCTTCCAATGACCCGCGGCTCTCGTTCCGGTCAACACGGCGTAGTTCTCAGCCGACGAGGTTCTCCTTAGGCTCCTGAAGTCGGATAACACGGCTCCCGGTCCCGACAGACTGACCTACCAGCACTGGAGGTCCGTAGACACGGAGGCCCGCTTCTTGTCTGCCCTGTTCAACGCCTGCGTTCACCACCGTCGCACCCCTGACTAATGGCGAACGTCGCGCACGGTTCTTATTTACAAGAAAAGTGATCCCTCTGTTCCGGGCAACTGGTGCCCGTCTGTACTTGGCTGTACTGCCTCCAAGCTCTACGCCAAGTGTCTTGCGTCGCGCCTGCAAGCCTGGATCATGGATCACCAGGTCTTGTCCAAGTGCCAGAAAGGAATTCTCCCGTATGAGCTGAACTACATCTTCCAGCACCGCAAGGACGCAGCCACAGCCGGTGTCACGTAGTTTTGCGCAGCCCTGCTTGACTTCGCAAACGCCTATGAGTCCATGCCTCACCAGGCCATCTTTGACGCCCTCCGTGGTTCTGGTGCTGGAGAGACGTACACCGTCCTCATTGAGGACCTGTACCACAAGAAACACTGTCATGGTTGCTGCAGAGGGCACGACAGAACCGGTCTTCATCTGCTTGGGACTACGCCAGGGCTGCACACTCATCGGGTTGCTCTTCAACCTAGTTATAGACCCCGTGATTCGAGGCGTGCAAGGCAGAGGCGACGACCACAATATCCTCGCCTATGCTGACGACCTGACGCCCCTGGCCGACTGTGCTGTTCTCCTCCAACAACGCATCGACATGGTCGAGACACTGGCAACACCTTTCGGACTATTCCTTAACCCGAGCAAGTGTACGACCCTGCAACTCAGCAGCATCACCCCCGTCGGAATGCAGCCAAGCGTATTCTGAGTTTCCGGCGTCCCGGTCGCAGCTTCGAGTGACTTCGAGCCGCTCCGCTACCTCGGACACCCGGTGGGTTTCCGCCTTCCTCATCGAGTGGGGACCAATGTCATTGACGACGCCATTCGCAACGCCACGGCTATTTTTTTCCTCTCTCCTAGCTCCCTAGCAGTGCATTGATGCCGTGAATACATTTGTGTTTCGCGGCCTGAACTTTTACATGAGGCGTGGCGTGTTGACCAAATCTGACTGGCACCGTTTGGACCTCGCCATCAGGCCTATGGTCAAGCGAACGTTGTATCTACCGGTGAACGCCTCAACCCACTACGTTTACGGAAGCGCCTCCGGAGGAGCTATAGCGATCCCGTGGCAGCAGAGCTGTACGACATCTGCCTTATTGGCTCCGCCTGTAAGCTCCTTAGGAAAGCAGACCAGTCGCTACGGGACCTCCCCCTCTCTGACACTTACAAGCTCGCCTCCACCCGCCTCGGATGGGAGGTCACCCGTTCCGAGTTGGAGGCCTACCTCTCCGGCGATCGGTAGGCCGTCCACTCAATGCCGGCAAGCCAGCTGCGCAGCCTGTGGACCGACGCCCGTAAGGCGTCTCGACGGCTGCAAGTTTCGTGGTCCCTGCGGCCGGACCAAGTCACCATCACCTGCGGCGACGCAACACATCCACCAACACCAAGGAACCGGGTCATGCGGACGCTACGCGATGTGCTAGCCCACGTCCGGGACAATGCCACGACCAGCCAAACCAAGGGAAGGTGATGGCCTGCATCTCGACGGATCGTGCGAGCTCCCTCTTCATCACCACGGGAGCATTCACGCACTTCGCCGGCTGGCGGTTTATCCACCGTGCGCGCCTCAACATGCTACCCCTCAATGGCGCCGTCATTTAGGGCCCACCTGACCAAGACTAGCGCTGCCAGGTCGGCGGCTACGCGACGGAGACGCTACCCCACGTGCTATGTCACTGCATGATGCAGTGCCATGTCTTTGGCGCAGCACAACGCGGTGGTATCGCACCTTCACACGACCGCTGCCCGCGACTACACCAAGGCGTTCGAGAACCAGCCAGTCGGGGACACCGAAATGCGTCCTGATCTTGTCTTGGTTCGCTGGGAGGAGGCCCTGGTGATCGACGTTGCTTGCCCGTTCTAGAACACACCGGAGGCCTTTACCAACAAGCGAAACAAGCTCGCACGCTACCTACCCGTCGCTGACTACCTGCGTCGCCGCTACCAGAGAGTAACGGTGGCCGCCGTCATCGTCGGGGTTCTCGGCGCTTGGGACCCGGCCAACGACGGAATCCTCCTGCACCTGTGCTCCCGCAGCTACCTGCGTCTCATGAAGAAACTCTGCGTGAGCGAGGTGGTGGCAACGTCCCGCGCCATCTACCACGCGCACGTGGATTATGGACGCAGCTATACAACCGCTGACCCAGACAAGACCTGCCCTACTACGTCACCACATCGCCTGGCTCCTACCAGGTGCCCTGGTCCACCCGCTGCTGCTCCGGGCACTCCTGCGACGTCAACACCTTCCAATGTCCTGGTGTCTTTGATGCTACCACCCGTATCCAGACTCTAGCAGGTCATCTTGGTCTGTGTACAAAACAAGAACCATGCCGTCTGGCAGACTCAAGACATTTCATGCATTTTCTTGAACATAATGAAAACCTACTCTGTTCTTATCAGCTTAATATCTTACACGGATCCTATTTGAACCTAAGATATTAAACTTATTTTTGCATTGCGGCGGAGTGCTTGAAGCTTGCTTCACCTCCGCCACGGGTTGGCCCGCTATTGCACTACCTCCAGGATCAACCCACTCACCCCTCGGGGAGTGAGATCTACATTAATCTAAATAAAAGATAGTGTGTACGGATTTACCAAGGATATCGGGGTAAACAGCGTGGGTGCATTGAGTGTCCGAAACGTTGGCGTCACGCCGCCCCGGCTGACGCGGTATTCGCGGCGGCTCGGTATTCGCGTGTGGGGAGTGCGATAGCTGTGTTCATACACACTTTCGATTGCTCTGAGAAAATAAATGTTTTTGTGGAAATTTCATATATGGAGAGCCTCTACTTTTTTGTTGTTATGCTAACACGTACGTACACCAAGTGTTTTTTAAACACTCTTACTCATATTACTAAAACTATTGAGTAATTTATTATTACTGTTTCACAGGAAAGCTAGAGCTGTGTATGTGCCAAGCTATTTCCGTTTTTCGAATTCACCCAATTCGGAACAAGAAATAAAGCAGCCTCTAGAAAGTGGGTGTTGGTGTTTCTGTTTACAGTTGCAATGAGAAGCGAAGGCATTTTTATTTCACATCTTCACGCGACGTGTTAACCTGAAGGCGCGTGCTCTCGCCACGTATACGCATCTATACTCTTCCCCATCAGAAAATAAAATCGCAAAGAACGCCACAGGACCCACCCCGCACACACCTGCTGCACGGTGGAGCGGAAAAGCCCCAATGTGCTTTTCTGTGTCCACTCACCTGGGCCTCAGCATCCTCCAGCGGTAGCTGTAATTCGTTGTCACACGGTCAGGTACCTCGCTGGCGCCCTCAGCCATCACCTTGTAATGACGATATGATGATAGTGGGCTTTAACGTACAAAAACCACCATATGATTATGAGAGACGCCGTAATAGAGGGCTCCGGAAATTTCGACCACCTGGGGTTCTTTAACGTGCGGCCTAATGTGAGAACACGGAAATGCAGCCGGCGCAGCCGGGATTTGATCCCACCACCTGCGGGTCAGCAGCCGAGTACCTTATAGCCACTAGACCACCACGGCGGGCATCACCTTGTTGATCACACACTACATTTCTGCACACCATATTGTCACGTGCTTGCCCAAGAAAGACGATGACAGTTGTGCATGTGCCACGAAGGACTACGAAATGGACGAAGAAGAAGAACTCGCTTGCGCGTTCTAATTGAAAAGATCGACCTGCTTCTGGTGTCCTCAGTCTCTACGGCAAAACCTCTGTTTGGACGTCGTAACACTGGTGGAGGTGCTGGAGCCTACAATCGGATGCAGTACAGTCTTGCTCGGAACCGATAGATAGATAGATATGTGGGGTTTAACGTCCCAAACCACTATATGATTATGAGAGACGCCGTAGTGAGGGCTCCGGAATTCAGACCACCTGGGGTTATTTAACCTGCACCCAAATTTGAGCACACGGGCCTACAACATTTCCGCCCCATCGGAAATGCAGCCGCCGCAGCCTTGCTCGGACCCGTTCACCTAGTCCAGAGACCCAGCCCCTCGTCACGACTCCGGTGCAACCGATTCAGTCGGCGCCTACTCGGCCTACGTCCGGAATCCGTACCTGTTCCGCCTCTAACCATCATGGCAGCTCCTACGACATCCACGGCTACCCTTCTATCGCAGACCACACTTCCCTCCCAGGTGACTCTTGAACATCCTCGCGTTCCTAAAGTTTTCCATGGGGAAGAGTACGAGGATGTCGAGGACTGGCTCGAACAGTTCGAACGGGTCGCTGTATCTAACAACTGGAACGAACAGCACAAACTTGGCCGTGCATATTTCGCGCTGGAAGATAGCGCTCGCACGTAGTACGAGAACCACGAGGCTACTTCCAATCATGCGACAAGAGCTCGCCGACCGCTTTAGAAAGGTCAAGACACCGTGGACAGGGCCACACATGCTGGTGTGGCCCTGTGCTGGTGGTCAGCTGATGATTCCCACGGGTAAATGCACCGCTCGACTTCGCATTGGGGATTCTAGCTTCGTGGCCACTTTCGTCCTGTTGCCAGACTGCTGTAAAGAGCTAATTTTGGGCATGGATTTTCTTCATGATCATGGCGCTATTATCAACATCCCTCAACGTATGGTGACGTTTTGCACACATTCGCTTGTCGACGACAGCAGCGACGAACTACGCGGCAGTTTGCGAATAGCCGACGATGTGACGCTCCCACCGAGATCCTGCTGCCTTGTGTCTGTGTCCAGTGGGTGGCCTTCCTATAATGATGTGATAGTGGAGCACATAGTCGCTCTTTTGCTCACGCAAGGCATTTCCATCGCGAGAGGCATCCTAACGCTTACTGGTGGACAGGCAGAAGTGCTCCTTACAAACTTCAGCAACGAGTGCCGTCAAACCCAGAAGGGTACTGCAATTGCCTACTTCGACGATATAGACCAGCCGGGATTGCTGTGCTTTGCAACCAGATGACGCGACAGTCCCTGCCTCGACAACTTTGTTCGTGGACATCTGCTCCACGCTACCGTCCTCTGATAGGAAGCGTCTGCTTGGACTTATACACCAATTCGAAGACTGCTTTTGTGTACGTCAAAGGTCCAGCGGACATCATCGACCAAGCACCGCATCATTACCGAAGACAACACGCAACCGATTCGGCAGAACCCCTACCATGTGGCTCCGAAAGAACTCGAGGAGAATCAGAAGCAAGTACAGAAGATGCTCGTGGATGACGTCATACAACCTTCGAAAAGTCCTTGGCGTCCCCCATGGTTTTGGTCAAGAAAAAAGACGGCAGCTTGCGTTTCTGTATTGATTATCGCAAGTTGAACCAAGTCAAGAAGAAATACGTCTATCCACTGCCTCGCATAGACAATTCACTCGATCGGCTGCGTCATGCGCGCTATTTCTCTTCAATGGACCTCCGTAGCGGCTACGGCAGATAGAAGTCGACGAGAGAGATCGTAAAAAAACGGCCTTTGTGACGCCTGATGGCCTTACGAATTTAAGGTGCTTCCTTTTGGGTTGTGCTCGGCGCCAGCCACTTTTCAGCGTCTCATGGACACCGTACTATCGGGGCTGAAGTGGCAAACATGCTTGGTCTATCTGGACGGTGTTGTTGTAATCTCAGCATCATTCGAGGAACATCTCAGCCGTCTATCCGACGCACTCCAAGCCATACGCTCGGACGGCCTGACTTTAAAACCAGAAAAATGTCATTTTGGTTTCAACGAGCTCAGCTTCCTAGGCCACGTCTTCAGTCACGAGGGTGTTCGACCTGACCCGGCCAAAATAGACGCCGTAGCGCAATTTCCTGCACCCCGTGACAAAAAGGCTGTGAGACGCTTCTTAGGGTTGTGCGCCTATTACCGGCGATTTATCGAGGACTTTTCGTCTATTGTGGCGCCATTTACACGAATCACACGTGAGGACGTCCCCTTTTTTAGGGGTGAACAGGAGCAAATGGCATTCAATGAACTGCGACAACGCTTGCAAACACCTCCAGGCCTTGCGCACTTCGACCAGGACGCCCCTACAGTACTTCACACTGACGCCAGCAATGTAGGTCTAGGTGTCGTTCTGGTGCAGTGGCAAGACGGCTGTGAAAGAGTAATAGCCTACGCCAGCAGAACTCTCGCACGGAGGAGAACTACTCGACCACCGAGAAGGAGTGTCTCGCCGTGGTGTGGGCAGTCATCAAATTTCGTCCGTATTTGTACGGCCGCTCCTTCAAGGTTGTTAGCGACCATCACTCTTTGTGCTGGCTCACCAACCTTAAAGATCCATCTGGTCGTTTGGCGCGCTGGAGCCTAAGACTTCAAGAGTTTGACATGACCATCGTCTACAAATCCGGGAAGAGGCACACCGACGCCGACTGTCTCTCACGGTTGCCAGTGGAAACTGTCACTCCTGATGACGAAAACATCGACGAGGCATTCTTGGGAGTTGTCAACATGGCCACTATTGCACGAGAGCAGCGCAGTGACCCTGAGCTGTTACCACTCATTGAATATTTAGAAGGACGACGTAAAGACGTGCCACGGTTATTGCTAGAGGACTGCCATCTTTTTGCTTGCGAAACGATGTTCTCTATAAGAAAAACTTCTCACCAACTGGTAACCCGCACTTGCTCGTCGTGCCTGCCTCTCTTCGAAAAGAAATCATGGTAGCGTGCCATGATGAAGCAACTTCTGGTCATCTAGGCTACACCCGAACATTGTGCCGACTACGATGCAAGTACTACTGGTCAAAGTTACCTGCTGCTGTTAACCATCACGTGCGAACGTGCACCGACTGCCAAAGACGCAAAGCGCCTGCCAGCAAGCCAGCCGGTCTTTTACATCCAGTCGAAGCACCAGAAAAGCCGTTCACCCAGATTGGAATGGATTTTCTGGGTCTCTTTCCAACTTCCACAAGAGGGAACAGATGGACTATTGTGGTCACTGATTACCTGTCCCGTTAGGCGGAGACTAAAGCTATGCAGCGTGGCACAGCAGCAGAAGCCGCTCAATTTTCATCGAAAACATCGTCCTTCAGCATGGCGCTCCGACAACAGTGATCACAGACAGAGGACCTGCCTTCACCGCAGACCTTTTGGAGTCGGTTCTCAGACTCAGCGGTACAGCTCACCGGAGAACAACTGCATACCATCCGCAGACAAACGGACTGACGGAGAGCCTCAATAGGACCCTCACAGACATGATCAGTATGTACGTTGACACGGAACATAAAAACTGGGATCAGATATTGCCGTACGTGACCTTTGCTTATAACACCGCTCGACAAGAAACCACTGGAATGACACCGTTCAGTTGATCTATATACGCGAAGTCACGACAACATTGGACCCCATGTTGCCGCATGAGTGTGACGACATCCATGTAGACGCCGAACAATTCACTCAGCGTGCCGAAGAAGCCTGACAGCTCGCGCGCGTGCGCATCTGTCATCAGCAGCATCAAGATGCACAACGCTGCGACACCCTGCACAAGTTTGTTAGCTACTCACCAGGCGACAAAGTGTGTGTCTGGATTCCGATACGTTGACGTGGACTGTCTGAGAAACTCCTAAGACGGTACTTTGGTCATACAGCG